AAAACCTCAATAGTTACGATACCTAACGACAAAATCAAAACGGCAATATAAAGTCATTCCTCCTATAACGCGGTGTGTGCGTACCTTGTAATATGCAAAGCGCGTTGTAAGAATCGCACAAACGAGGCAAATTTTTAGCGCGTTATATTGAAACCGCGCTGTAAAAACTCCGAAACAGTACAAATTACGACAATTGTAACGCGCTATATAAAGATCAATAAATTCAAAAAACATTTTAAAATATAAAGTACAATTTTTATTGAATTGAAAACAAAGTTGGGGCTAGTGCCCAAGGCGGCAAATTTTCTGGGGCGGCAAAATTTGGAAAGTGAGAAAAAAAATCTATACAATACAACTTACTTATAGTTAGTTATAGTAAAGGGCCAAAAATTAACTAGTTGGTATTGGTATTTGTAATAATCGATTTAATCAATGAAATATAAATTAATTTATGAGAGATTAAAAGTATTCCGAGTGGTTTTATTACACATATTTAAAAACGAACGAACACGTTAACTAGGAGTATTTTCTAAAAGCAAATTTTCAAAAATCAATAATTTTTATAATTGAACCAGTTTCCGTAGGACTTTAATGGTTTAGTATATTCAAGACCAAGTAGTCTATCGTTATACCAAGTAAATGGTCTAAATTTAATATTAACAAACGTCAAAAAAACTACTCATTTTCTGAAACTTTGATAAATTTTTAAAATTAAACTACTTGTTGTAAGGCCGTAATATTTCAGTGCGTTCTATAAGACCATGATATATATCGCCAAAACGTCGAGAAAACGTCGATTTACGACAAAAAATCTGTTCACATACACACACACTTTTTCCACATATACATACTTTTTCCAAACTTGATCTCATTCGATTCAGAAAACATAAAATTAGCGAATTGGATTTTTTTATAAAAACAAACTTCACCTTCGGGAAGTTAAAAACGAAAAATTTTGCATATGTTCACGTTTTAGAGGTTTCTGAACATTTTGTAAATTTATAAACTTGAAAATATTTTTTAAAATTTGTTAACTTACTGAATGATGACATACATACAGTCTCGAAACGTTTATAAAAAATAGTTAATTATTGATTGCATTTTATGTGGAATAGTTGGCTGCAAATAAACATTTCTTGAATATGTCTCAACACCTAGCAAAAAATCTAAAGTTTATATATAATAATGTATAATAATAATAATAATAATACTAGTGAGGTGTATGGCATCGTGCCTTAAGGCAAACTGCTGGAACTTCCTGTACCGTAACGAAATGTTCGAGGAATATTGAATATTTTCAAATAGATTATTATAAATATTGTAACATTGTATAATATTTATAAAAATTATATAAACTGAAATGCAAATTGATTTAAAATTATTTGTTTAAAGTATATTAGAACTTTAGTCAGAATTAAAAATAAAATCTGAATTATTTTCGATATACAAAAAAAAAAATTTTTTTTTTGAAAAAAAAAGGAAAAAAATTTTGAAACAAAATTTTTTTTTCCAAAATCAATTATTTTGTTAAAACAAGCAGAAAGCTCTTTGAATCATTTAAAATCGGACGCTTAGTTCTCTCAAAAACTGCCATTTTTTGCACATTTAGCTCTGTATCTTCGAAATGGCAAGGCCTGCCTTTGCCAAAAACTAATAACCACTTCTTCCAATCATTACTAATTGAAAGTTTTTTAGATCATTCAAATCGGATGCTCCGTTCTCTCAAAAATTCGATTTCTATTTTCTGCTCTCTTTGCTCTTTATCTCCGTAACAGCTGGACCTGCCTTTGCCAAAAACTAATTAGCACATCTCCCTATCAATAGGAATCGAATGTTTTTTATACCATTCAAATCGGTTGAACCGTACGCCCGAAAATGTGAACGAGAAAATGCGGACACACAAAACACACACACACACATCCATTTTTTCTGAGGTATGCCATAATGTTCGGAAACCTTCAAAACGTCGAGAAAGGCAAAAATTTTCAATTTCGATTTTTGGACGATTACAATAACTTACCCTACGGGAAGTTAATAAGCCATATAGTAATGGTTTACGATTACAAGGTTCTGAGTTAAATCTCACAGCATTCGACAACCTGATATCACTATATATTTTGAATTAAAAGAGGCAATAAAAAATCTTTTAAACCATATTCCTTCATTCGATAATCCGCAGAAATTCAGCCAACCAAATGTATATAACGACATTTTAAAATCGAAACAGCAGCAAAATTTGATAAATATATTGTGCCTATAAAATTTGAATCATTTATTTCTTAATAAACATACGATGTTTTATGCCTAGATAAAATAACGACTTGATTTTAATGCCGTTGAAAAGAAAACTAACTAGTTGGTGTGGTATTTAGCCTTGAGGCAAGTTACATGAACTTCCCAATATGTGTAAATAATTGACTTAATCAAAAAAAAATGTGTAAATAATATACTTCATCAATCCTACTTTAAAAAAACGATAATAATTTTAGCAAAGTTTGACAAATTTTTAAAATTAAACTACTTGTCGTAAGGCCGTAATATTACAGTAAGTTCTATAAGACCAAGATATCGCCAAAAAAAGTTCCATGAAAATCGGCTTAATTGTTTTTTTTCAACAGTTCATTACAAGAAAACGGCTCGGTAGATTTTCACCTAAAATTAATCAGTACCATTTCCAACTAATATCTTTCGAACAGTTTTTAATTTTTTAAAATCGGTTCGGTAAGATGAGCTTAAATGTGCACGAAAAGTTTAACACTTTTTTTCAAATTGCAAAGAAACGGCTTGGCAGATCGTCGCACAAAACTGACAAACGATAGTCCTCATCGAGATACATCAAATGGCTTTTAAATTTTTGAAATCGGTCCAGCCGTTTTGGAGAAAACGTCGATTTACGGCAAAAAATATGTTCACACACACACACACACACACACACATACTTTTTCCAAATTTGGTCTCAATCGATTCAGAATGGCTCGAAACGTCGAGAAAACATAAAATTAGCGAATCAGATTTTTTGATGAAAACATAAACTTCTCCTTCGGGAAGTTAAATATGTAATTTTAGAAACGATATATTTAATGGCGATATTTAATGAGATATTTTAGAATTTAATTTTAGAAACGTTTTCATGGCAGGGGAGTAGCAAGCTTTTATGAGCTAACAATACTATTTTGAAATAATGAGACAAGAAATAAATAATTTACAAACTAGACATTCAATACTGTATAAACGCATGTTTCGAAACTAGTTTGAATAATGAAATAAGATCATATTCATAATTAATAACATTTAAAGTGACTCACGTTCTGAACATTGAGTAGATTAAAAAAAAACAGCAAGATTCTAGCGAGAAATTAGAGAAAAAAAGCATAAAAGTCTCTATAAATTTCAATCTTTGATTGTTAAGGTATCTTTTTAAATATCCATTTCTTAATCTAAATGCTACATATGGTGTAAAATATTGTCTCAGGTAATTTTAGCTAAAAATCGCAAATGGGTCATTTTTTACCTTTGACTTGTGCCATTTTTTTAGCTCGCAGTGGATCGATGAGGACTTTTGAGATTTCTTTTATAATTGTATTTTAAACAATTTTGCCAAGTTACAGCCCATTATGAATTATAGTAACCTTCACCCTGATTTTAGGTTTAAATTGATCGGGCTATAAAGCTTTTGGTTAATACAAAAATTTGTACATGGAATAGATCTCAATTCTCAATAAATAAAATAATTATTAATATTCAGAAACGTGCCTGCAAATGCTATTTTAGTTCATTGTTAGTCCCATAGTGAAGCACCATTTAAAAATCATATCGATAGTCTTCAATCAGAGCCTTGGAGCTTTCACAAAAAGGGTTTCAATAATAATTCTTATATTCTAGTAGATTGTCTAATCTACTATATCTACATTAAATATTACCATCAGCGAATATTGTAATGGATCTTGTAACTCCAAACTAGCACTTAACTTTAAGCATATCATACAAATTGCACCTTCAAAGCACACGACAGGGTCTTTCACACAGAAAACAAACTTCTGCGAGATGTGATTCAGCTATGTAACAATTTTCTAATTACATATGTGTAATTATTATATGAACCAACTGATTAACTCCTTATGCTAACATATTTATATCAAAATTTGCATGTGTTTTTTAGCACTTTTTAAGTGCATCTGAACATTTTAATTCTGCTGATATCAGGTAATAGCACTGTATATCCCATATCAAAGATATTGATTGTTCTGGTCATTATTATAATGTCCAGGATTCTGGTACTAAGATACCACTAACAAATAGAATATAAATTCAAATCATGTAATTGAGATATTAATTTAATAATCAATATCATATGTAGCACATTTTTCCTAAGTTAATAAATTCATGTAATAAGAAAAATAATAGATTTGTTTTTGATCTATCAAAGGAACATTAATGAAAAAATATAATCCAAAGATATTATGTCTGAAGTTGAGTAGTTGTGCAAATATAATAATAAATTGATATGGTGAAGCAAATGTAATTACATATATAGCAGAATAAATCTAGCATATAATGTAAAGTAAAAAGTTCTGAGTTTTTCTCTCTACAAGCATTACAAGAGATATTCTAAGATGAATGCAAATATTGCTTAAAATATTGAGTAAAAAAGATTCCATAAAATTAACAATATGTAACAATATGTAAACTAAAAATACTCAGAACTTTTATAGTTTACGTCTTATATCTCTGTTAGATTTACAAATGAATAACTCACCTAAAGACGAAGAATACTCTGAAACAACTTAATACATTTCACTCACAAACACTAAATAATGTTAATTAATATTGTAAAATATAAATCAGAAGCAGCACTTACAATAGAAATTATTCTTTAAATAGTCCTTAAACCACTATATTGCAGATCACATAAAGCAACCAGACTGATATGTTAAATGCACTTATTACAAGTTTCTTATTACAACACTTTATCAAATCTTTATTAAGAAAACTACAGTTCCTCAATTATTATTAAAGCGCCATTCTTGACGGCACATAGGACATAAAGGCGTGTGGGGTTGACTATGTAACCATTTCACAATGCAGTGCATGTGGAAGCAATGACTGCATGCACCCCATACGAGAGGACAATCGTCACCAGGAAGGGAGCACTCTGGACAACAGCCATCAAAAGCCATACGGCAAATACCACAACTGTCATCATTGGCAACCCATCGCCAGGCTGCTACACCAGTCAGGCCTGTAATTAATAATAGATAGATATTATGTTACTTTTACATTACTATTATTATTGAATAAAACTATATTATTGTATTAAATTGTATTGTATTGGTTTAAAACATGTATCTTGTTCATTTTCTTTGAAATCTACATTTTTTTTCTACATTTCTGACAAATATTTAAACATCGCAGCATTGCAATTTAATATAAGTACCCATAATTAAAAATAGTGATTAGTTAGTTTTACATTTGTTAAGTAATCAAAATATTTAAATATTTGATCAAAATTTCACATTTAGAATAACTAACAATAATAAATACCACAAAGAAAAATTGGAGAACAATTAATAATCTATTTGTTCATTATCGCTTAGTTATCAGGTACAATATTGTGAATAAAATTAACTACTGTCTAATCAGTTTCTTGGGCTGGCAGATTCTTAGTCTGGCAGTTTCTTAATCAGGCAGTTTCTTTGTCTGCCAATTTCTCTGCGCAACAGTTTCTTAGTGTCCCTATTACTTAGTTTGTCAGATTAGCCCATCAGTATTTTTTAGTATATCAGTAAATACAGAAATTTATTTGAGATTATTTTTATGGAAACAGGAATACTTGTTATAGTCAGATTCTTAGACTGCCTGTAACTTAGACTGTAAGTATCTTAAACTGTTCTGTACTCTCGTCAGTCTGGGAGTTGTTTGGTCCAGTAGATTCTTGGTCTGACAGCTTCTTAGTCAAGCAGTTTCTTTGTTTGCCAGTTCTCTGCACGGCATTTACTCAGTGTAACAGTTTCTTAGTACCTCTGTTACTTAGTTTGTCAGTAAGTTAGTATATCAGTTTCCCCATCTGGCAGTTCCTTAGTTGGGCAGTTACTTTGTCTGGTAATTTCTCTACACGACAGTTTCTTAGCCCCTCTGTTACTTAGTTTGTCAGTTTCTTAGTCTGTCATTTTTTTAATATATTAATTTCCTAGTATATCAGTATCTTAGTCTGGCAGTTCTTCAGTTAAGCATTTACTAGATTTGGCATTTCCTCATTCATCTTGCCAGTCATTTAGTCAATGTGACAGTTTCTTAGCACCTCTGTTAGTTAATTTGTCAGTTTGTTAGTATATCAGTTTCTTCGTCTGGCAGTTCTTTAGTCCGGCAGTTTCTTAGTCGGGTAGTTCCTTATTAGGGCAGTTACTTCTTCTGCCAATTTCTCTGCATAACAGTTTCTTGGTCTCTCTGTTACTTAGTTTGTCAATTTCTTAGTCTATCAGTTATTTAGTATATCAGTTTCTTAGTCTGGCATTTTCTTGGTCTGTTAGTTTTTTAGTATGTCAGTTTCTTAGTCTGGCAGTTCAGTTAGGCAGTTATTTTGTTTAGCATATTTTCAGCTTGGCGTTTATCATTGTCTTCTGTCTAGCAGTTTCTTGGTCTGGCAGTTCCTTCGTCTGGCAGTTTCTCTGCGCAACAGTTTCTTAGCCTCTCTGTTACTTATTGTTAGTTTATCAGATTAGCCTATCATTTTTTTATTATATTAGTTTCTTACATAACAATACAAAAATTTATTTAAGATTATTTATAGCCTTTCTCTAACTTAGACAGTATCTTAATCTGTTCTTCACTCTCGTCAGTCTGGCAGTTGTTTGGTCCAGTAGATTTTTGGTCTGACAGTTTCTTAGTCAAGCAGTTTTATCGTCCACGTCAGTTAGTTAGTTTATCAGTTTCTTTGTCTGGCAGTTCTTTAATCTATCAGTTCCTTAGTCAGAAAGTTTCGTAGTCTGGCAGTTACTTCAACTGCTAATTTTTCTGCATAGCAATTTCTTAGCCTCTGTTACTGAGTTTGTCAGTTTCTTAGTCTGGTAGTTCTTCAGTTAGGCAGTTTCTTGGTCTGTCAGTTTTTTAGAATATCATTTCTTAGCCTGGCAGTTCTTCAGTTAGGTAGTTACTTGGTTTGGCATTTTCTAACTTTGGCAGTTATCATTATCCTCAGCCTGGCAGTTCTTTGACCTGGTAGTTTCTTGGTCCGGCAGTTTCTTAGTCTGGCAGTTTCTTAGTCTAGCAGTTTCTTAGTTTGGATGTTTCTTAGTCTGGCAGTTTTTCTGCACAACAGTTTCTTAGCCTACCTGTTAGTTAGTTTGTCAAATTAGCCTATCAGTTTTTTAGTATATTGGTTACTTACACAATAATACAGAAATTTATTTGAAATTATTTATATCCTGTCTGTAATGAAGAATGTCAGTATCTTAATCTGTTCTCCACTCTCGTCAGTCTGGCAGTTCTTTGGTCCAGTAGATTCTTGGTCTGGCAGTTTCTTAGTCAAGCAGTTTCTTCGCCTGCCAGTTCCCCGCACGGCATTTATCCAATATGACAGTTTCTTAGCACCTCTGTTATTTAGTTTGTCAGTTAGTTAGTATATCAGTTTCTTCGCCTGGCAGTTCCTTAGTCAGGCAGTGTCATAGTCAAGCAGTCACTGACAATTTCTCTGCACTGCAGTTTCTTAGCCTCTCTGTTATTTAGTTTGCCAGTGTCTTTTTCTAGCAGTTTATTGGTCTGTAAGTTATTTAGTATATCCGTTCCTTGGTCCGGCAGTTCTTCAGTTGGACAGTTACTAGGTTTGGCATTTTCAGAGTTTGGCAGTTCTTTGATCTAGTAGTTTCTTGGTCTGGCAGTTTCCTAGTCTAACAGTTTCTTAATCTGGCAGTTTCTTAGACTGTCAGTTTCTAAGTCCGGCAGTTTCTTAGTCCAGCAGGTTCTTAGTCTGGCAGTTTCTTAGCCTCTCTGTTTCTTAGTTTGGCAGATTCGTCTATCAGTTTCTAAGTCTGGCAGTGTTTTGATCAGTTGGGCAGTTTTTTTATCCAGCATTTTTTTAGTAAGGCAATTTCTCAGTCTAGCCATTTCCTTGCCTGCCAGTTTGTCTGCGAGTCAGATTGTTAGTGTGGCAGTTTCTTAGCCTCTCTATTGCATAGTTCATCAGTATCTTAATCTGCCAGTTTTTTAATATATCAGTCTGGTAGTTCTTGTGTCTTAGTCTGGTAGTTCTTGAGTTATTACATTTCTTGGTCTAGCATTTTTTTATTCTGGCAGTCTCTTAGTCTGAGAGTATCATATGCTAATATTATCAATTTAAAATAATGCATTATATAACCTAATCGAGAATAATATGGTATTAATGTTGACTGCATAAACTCATCAAGTCAATATTAGAAACATAAACAATTTATTTGTTCAAAATATGTGTACTTTCTGTTAGTAATGATGTTTTAGAAATTAAATCAATCTTTCTTCACTTTACTTTGATATTGAATATAATAATAATGAAAAAGACACATTAATGATTATTATATTCTTGAATCTCTATATCAAATCAATATAGAATTATGCAATTGTAGTAATAATTTAAATCAATTAAAATATCAGAGCAGACACTTTTTATAACATATTTCTATTCACAAACGTAATTGTAACAAATTTTGTCAAATTTTATATTAAACGAATTAACGAATTATTCAACAATCAAAATTTGTTTATAATTAAGCGGAAGAGTTATACATTAATTACATGAACCTAACCTCACTTTTAATGACTTCAATAAAAAGCGGGTAATTTAGATAAATAAGTAATTTTCACAAAACATGTAAAAATACGTATAATAAAATTAAAATTATTATAATAATTAATTATTAACACTACATTTCATCGTGTCACAAATTACTTACTTTTTATTATGACTTTCATTCTAAACCACTTGGATGATTTTTTGTAGCATCCTCAACCAAACAATATAATTATTTATGATAAAATAACCATCTGTACATTTATAATGACAATTATAAAATAACCACATATAACAACGCTCTCTTCTAAAAAAAATTGTATAATTGTTATATGTCACGATTTGTTTGAGGCGTGAACTGTCACTTTTTATATTTCAAAAGTACTTGAACAGATCGATTTAAAAAAAATCTATTTGACGTAATTTATACCAGGTATTATATTTTTTGGCTATATATAATTAGCTTTAAATTGAAAATGTTTAATGATAATGCTGTTAGAATTTAAAATGTGCGGGAAATAAATTATTATTCAAATCAGTATGACCTAACCTCAAAAACAGAAAACATTGTTTTCAATTCTACTGCTGAAGAAACTTCTGTCCCTAGACTGATATATTCACATTCTATTTAATCTTAATATTTAGAAGGATACATTTTTTGTTTAAAATTATACAAATGAGTACTTTCAGTTTGCAGGAATTGCAAAGAGTAGAGTTTTGCAAGGATTACAAAACTCAACAAATAAGTCACCTTAGTTACAGTGTATTATAATTTAAATTTATTTTCTTAATAGCTAAAGAATATCTTACCCAGTAATTAGCTTTTAGTTTTATTTGTCCATAGCACTCTGGTGTGGTTTCGAGCCAATCGAAATATGTTAACAAAACTGCAGTACTTGGCTGTATCATAGAAATAAAACAAAAATTAATTTATGTTATGGTATTATTCTAGGTATCGTAAAATGAATAAACATTTATAATATTACAATTATATAAAAATAAGACTTACCAATTTTCCAGGTATGTTGCACTGCTGGTATGCAATGTCAGCAAAACATGATCTTATGATCTAGCTTAATTTTGTTTAGAAGTGTGAAGTAATAAATCTTCTAGAAATATATTAAATAAACAAATTAATTTATTTTAAAACTATGGAAGCAACTAAAGTGAATACTGCCTTCTTAAGCAATTTTGAGGTGATGGAAGTGCTAAAGGAGTTGAAATTGAAAGATTCAAAACGAAAATTCATGATGCGAAATTTTGCAACAATTACTTATGAAACTTTGAAGTTTTTAGAAGATTCTCCATGCGTTTTACAAAGCAAGGAGAACATATCTGACTTTCTGAAAGCTGTAGAACCCTTTAATCTTGTAAAAATTGAGAAGCTCCTTATGATCAATGAACCTCCTACTACGCCCCTTCAAATACAATTAATTGTTGAGGACAGTGAAGAAAGATTATCAGAAGAAGATGTGGATAAACTGTTAGATGTTATTGCAAATACTTTGCCAGTACCCGAAATAAATGATGAAGAGAATGACTAATAGATTCTATTAGTTGCCAAGGAACCAATAATATAAGTTTAATTATTATTAAGTGGAATTTAAGGTCTATGAGTACCTTGATTCACAAAGTGTTGTATTTCATTTTATAAAATTTATTTGGGCAAATAGAAAAGCTAGTGTAAAAGTTGTAATACATTAAATAATTATTGCAATAAAATGAATTAAATGAAAATATACTGCATATTTATGATTTTAAATATATGTTCCCAATATGTTGTTGCCAAAAAATGTTATTTTTATTCGCACTGTCACATTTATGAAATGACTGTGATTAGGTTTCATAAAATTATAAGTATACGTATAGCTTAGGCAATATTTATATGTATAGCTTATAAATAGCTTTATTATCCGAGTATATAATTTTTAATTTATTGCCTTTTAGAAAATGAAATAACCAATAATTTCACAGTACCATTAACAAATTTTGAAACCTTTTCAAATATTTCAACAATATTTTTAAATATACCAATTTTGATATCCAACAATAAACAAAAGGTATTATTAACTGTATTTAATACTACTTTTATTTGTTATTTTCTTCTTCAACGTTATCTTACCAAGTTTTTTTTAACCCTTCTAATTTAATTTTTATATCATTACAATTATATTTAAATTATATTTTCTTTTTAATTCGATTTCATAAAAAATAATATGCAGTGGATATCAATGTTATCATAATGAATATATCTGTCTTTTTATTTAAATAGATGTAAGTATATTGTTTTCATATATCATGAGAAAACTGTTTCTTCAAAAACCGGTCAAGCATTGCAATTTCATGTTCCATTGATCTAAACTGGATATTTATTTAGGTAAAATTACTTAACTGTTATATTCATCAATACTACTTGCTTGTATTGCTAGGTATAAAACATAAAATTACAATAGTCTTGTTTCTTATTCTATTTACAATCAATATTCATTCAATAAAAACAGCAGAATTATAAAAGAAAAACAAATTTATTTTGAAATGGATGAAGCCATACAATTCGCCAACAATTTGTTTTTTCTTTATCATACAACATCTATATTTAATTTATTCAAATATGTGTCCACATACATCAGTTTAAGTTTAACATCATCATATTTTGAGTTAATTCTTTTGTTTACAAACTGTTCTCATTCTTTTCTACTCACACTAAATTACTATAATTCAAAAATTGTCTTTTTAATTTGATAATTTGAAAATTTGTTAATGTCTTTCCTACTTGTATATTTTTTACTTGCACACTATAAATCTCAGCTCACATATCTTCTCTGGATCGAACCATCCTTATTGGAATATTTATTCACCACCACATAATTCACATTAAATTAGCTTCCACTTTCAATTTTGTATTGATTCTTAAACAAATATGAATTCCTAATTGAAAATTATGCATGATAATTCTATAAAGTGCAACAACGAACTGCAGAGTGTACATTGGATTTTAACCCATAAATTTAACATTATCATGCTTAATTAGCCATTAAGAGATGTCTTAATTCTAACACTTTAATATTTTATTTGTTGTTAATTTTCTCATTATTTTAATACGTTTGAGTCTTGTATAAATATAAAATAAGTTGATTGTGTAAATGTAAACATTTATATAAATCAATTTTGTAAGTTATATTAATTAAATTAACTCAAAGAAAACATCAAATAAAATTTAACATTATAACCTAGCCTTAGAGTATAACAACAAATATATATTTTAGAAGGAACATTGTTCTCATAATGCCACTATAGATATGAAATCTCTTCTATTAAAATTATCGACATTGACTACAATGCAAACATGTGATCTTTGAAATAGCTTAATAACATTGCTATGATAACACGAACTTTTTGCTACATACAAGTTTCAAATATGCTCGATGCAAATGATACAAGATGTATGTGTAAGTTTTGATATTGGATGAATGGATACATATATAAAATATTCCAAATTTTTAGCAATTTGCACTTTTTATATTAACTCATTCTATTCAGTTCTTTTATTATACCTATATTCTACTTCATAAAACCAATTCATCCAATATCGAGGCATTTAATAAGGTTTCAAATGTATAAAAAGCTTTTTAAGTTACATTATGGCAGATATCAAAAATCAACAAGTTATATCTACGTAACAAACATATTTACATACATTTGAAATTCACAACCAATTAGAATCCAATATGTTCCAATCCAG